CTTTTCACTAATATCCTCTTATTCGAAACCATAGACATTGCATTAGATCTTATTTATTCACATCATCCCAACCTTACCATTAAAAAACAAGACCTAAAACAACTTTTTTTTATTGCCACATCACAAACTCATTTCCTATATAACGGACAATTTTTTGACCAAATCGACAGAGTCGTGATTGACTCACCATTAGCATCCCTTCTTGCTAATCTTTTCTTGTGATATTATGAAAAGAATTGGATCAAGAACTATGACGGACCTAAAATATTGTTTTACAGACGCTATACGTAGATGATATATTTTGTATTTTCAACAACGAGGATGACGCTCTCCCTTTTTTTAATTATTTAAACATAAAACACAAGAATGTTGACTTTACCATAGAAAAAGAACATGACAACAAGTTACCATTTTTAGACATACTCATTACTAAAAACACAGCCACTAACACATACACGACATATACTTTTCATTAGAAAACCTAAACTGGACTATTACTTAACTTCTTTATCTTCACCTCACAAAAGTATAAGACAAGACTGATTACAACTCTCATCAACCGCATAAAGAAAATTAACACGTCGACTGGCTATTATCATGACTTAAACCCTCTCATTGACAATTCCAAACGAAACTCCTTTCTCTCACCTTTTATAGAAAAAATCATTAAATCATATGACCATGACAAAAACACAAACGAAACAGACACTAAAAACGAACCCACACCTACCTAACTCGAGACTTATTTTTTCAAACTACCCTACATTGGCTACATTTCACAAATCACGAAACGAAAATTACACAACTTAATTAAACGCTACTACACATATTTAGACATCAAACTAGTTTTTTCAACTTTCAAAATCAAAAATCATTTTAGCTTCAAAGATTCTATTCTCGCTCTTTTAAAATCCAACGTGGTTTATGAATTTTCTTGTGCTGGATGTAATTCCAGTTACATTGGGCAGACCACCCGCCACCTTTCCACACGGATTAAAGAACTCCGGACAAAACTCACACATATTCAGACACTTACTCTCATCACCACACTGCAAAAACAATTACACATAATCCTGCTTCCGTATCTTAGACATGGCTCACACTTCTTTCGCCCTTAAACTCAAAGAAGCTCTTTATGTCAAGAAATGTAAACCTAACCTTAACAAACAAATACAACATCTTAACACTATCTTCGACCTGTAAATAGCAATTATTACTTATCATTTTTATCCATTTTCTATGTAGTTTTTCCTTTTCTTTTATAAAACCTTGCACAAACATTATATAACACCTATATAACTGGAAATAATTATTTATAACTATTCGATACTTTTGCTTTATCACTATATACTTATTATCATGTAAACTTGCTATATTCATTCATAGATTTCAAAACAGCAAATACCATGGTGAATGGTGATAATAACAATGTAATAGTTCTTAAAAGAACTGTTTTAACCAGAACACTAACAACAATTCAAAGGAACCGTTATTTACAGCTAGAAAGAGACCAGGGGCGGATCTAGGATTTTTCAAACATCAGTCATAAAACGTCGAAGGCGCTACGCACCTGGGGGGGTCTGAGGCATTCTCCCTGAGAAATTTTGAATTTCAGAGCCTTGAAAATGCCATTTTCAGCGTTTTAGAGCAATACAAAATGTATTTGTGGGCATAGTTTTTGCGTAAAAACAAAACATTTTGCTTACGTTTTTTTCAAAAAAAAAAATGAAGTGAACAATACTTGAATGTTTTGCCAAATATTTAGGCTCATTATCATGCCAAATATATGGCTCATTAGCATGTCTAGGAACGTAAAATTTATTTTACAATAATGCCATTTAAAAACAGATATAGTCTTTAAAAATTTCTACCAAGTTGTCAGGCATAGACCCCCTAGAGACCCCCATTCAAACCTCTATCTAATGAATTTAGTTAAGTTAGAAATTTGGTACTACAAGTGACAGTTCATAGATATAGAAAAGCTCAGACTTCAAACCATGCAAGTTTATTGTAACCCTTTACCCATCTCCACATCAGTGCCAGCAAATTCACCTTTTGAGAAAAAACTCAAAATTTTTTTCTGCCAAAGGTTAAGGAAAAATTATCAGAGTGAAAATTTGCAGTTAAGGACAGCTTAATGCCATAAATGCTTATTAGGCATTTCACTAGACTATTATCTCCTGTAAGTATATGCAAGGTGTGCTATATAGCAATCACTAGTAGCATTGTATTTGCAAATACAAACAGAATGTAACCAACATGTCTTTAATTATATAATTACATGAATGTTAAAATTGGTTCATGTGTCATGCTTACTGGTTATGATAAATATCCTTTCATATGATCAAAGCTTGTTTAAATGTAAATCAGAAATAATTTAGTTTAGAAATTATAAAGATCATATGAAAATTTACCTAGTGATCATGAAAAATACTTTGCAGTTTTGCCAAATTTCAAGGTTTATCTGCATACATAGAAAGGCATTTTTACTTTATAGAAAATGCTTTTCATACATCAATAGCCCTTTGGAATTTATGGCAAACAATCTGGTATGAGCTGTAGATTGACAGACCTTTACATCTCTACATGAGGTGTTCAGTTAGAAAAGGGGACAATATGTGACATGGGACAACATTCCATGTATGTGAAATACTAGGGTTTAATACCATTCCAGTCAAATTGTCAAAATAAAAAGCTTCATGGATCAGAAGACTCAAAATCACAGGTTATAGTAAACAGCTTCTCATGTAATCAATGTTAGTTTTCTCAAATCTTAAACAATATGTAGTATAACTGTCCAATGATTGAATGATCAATGATCATAAACTGAAAAACCCCAAACATTTGTTTATGATAAAGTAAATAATAGTATGGCGCCTTATGGCTACAGATTTTTTGTCCATTGAAATATATTTGCAGGAATGTAGGATTTCGCTGCCGTATAACGGCCACGATTCCCCAAGCACTAAAGAAATCATAGCTAAAAGTCCTTTGGCAACAACAATTTTAGAAGCATCAATCTGCTTACCATACGCCATATTGACATAAATCGCATCACACACTCGCATAATTGACTTTGATATATTACATTCATGCATACACTTCACTTGTCCTTTACTTACGATTTTGGATGTAAATTTCTGCTGATAAAACTCAAACCAATGTTGGCTTTCTTTTGAACATCAATGACTGAAATGTCGCTCGCGAGATCGTCTTTGCCAAGCATTTAAAATTTATCCATAAATTTCCACCCTCTTGAAAAAATTCACATTTTGGACAGCAGCATTCATGTCAATATATGAATTTGTAAAGATTTCCATAAATTCCATCTGATTGTAGTTTAGTTTCTATCATGCTTATAAAATTACTATAAAACGATCAAACATTCAATTCAGACAGTGAGCTTGACTATGTTAGTTCAGTTGGCTATCAGTCGAAATCCGTCAAACCAATCACAATAAAGCAAAAATTCAAATGAACCAATTGTAAGATAGCAATTGGACTCCCTTATACGTCCGGCCACCCTTATTATCAGTCGAGACCATTCCAGAGTGTCCACTGATCTGGCTATTGACCAATAAAATAAGCGTTTTTGACGTTCATAGACTCCTTTATCCGTCGAACCAGTCAAGCCACCCCGCTTATCAGTCGGTTATTCCAGGTCAATTAAAATTCAACTGACCTGGTTACCAACGAGATATTCATTGGATTAGTCATTAGTTTTCAATAATAAATAATGCGGGATTTTTATCACGAAGTAAATGCGATAAGGAAATAAGAATAATTAATGAATTTTTAATTAATATGAATAGGTAATTATTGAATTTCAAACATCAGTCGCGCGACGGATTTGACATACTCTAGATCCGCCCCTGAAAGAGACACTATGCATTTCGGCAGACTACTCGTCAGGTGTCAACGTCTGCTAAATGAGAGCCTCCAAATCATGCTATATTTATAATGTTACAAAAGGTCAATGTCATCCCTATTTTTAGAGATGACACTTAAAACAGAGACAGATTAAACACGTAATCCTTTTGTCGGCAAAGGACAGGATTAGTCAATTTAATTAATACCGACTCCATGACGCGTAGCTGGAATAACGAGCGACACTTTTAAATAATTTTAAAGTTTTCATCAGAATAAGCATTGGCACAGCGAATTTTGCTTAAAAGATGTTTTCCAATCGCTGAATCACATAGAATCGGAGTTTCACTTTTACACCCACGTTTTGGTAGTTGTCGTAAAGGAACAGTTTTATTCCTGACAGAAGCTGGTACATGCTGTTTTATTCTTTCACTCAAACTTTGAGAAGTCCTACCTACATAGCGAGCATCACACTCACATTTAAACTCGTAGACTACATTGCTTGATATTTGAGAAGGGAGAGACTCTTTGGGAGTGGGTGGAAGAATAGTTCTTTTTGAGAATATAAAGACCACATTGCATACAAAAAACAAACTCTCAGTGATATTTTTAGTTTCCTTCTCGATGTCATTAGAGGCCTTACCCATCCACGGAAGTTTAAGGAAAAGAGGGCACTTGGCCGGTCCGAAAAGTTTATTCCGTTCATTTTTAGTGGATAAGAAAAGTTTGTCTAGCACCTTTTCCGGATATCCATTTAACACAAAAATATTCTTCAGTGAGATAAGATCACTATCAATAAACTCTTTTGAGGACAATCTATGCGTTCGCTTTATCAAACACTTCACTAAAGAAATCTTTTCTCTATGCGAAGAGAAAGAGTCAAAGCGTGTGTACAAACCAGTGAAAGTTGCTTTGCAATGAATGCTTGTTAAGAACTGACCATTGCGTTTGTGTACAAGAACATCTAAAAAAGCTAATAATGCTAAAGTTTTTAAAAATAATGCTAAAAATTATAGGCAAGTAATCACTATAAAGATGATGGCTAAGCGGGATGAAAATTAGGAAAAATGTAGTTTATTCCAAGTCTCCAAAACGATAAAAACAACATTTTCTTAAGTGAAAAATATATTTTCACAGAAACCATAAAGTTTTAAAACTTTGATTTATCATTATTGAGAAGGACAAACAGGAGGCAACCGTTTGCTAATCACTAAAATACAGTTCCGATTACGTCAAACCATGCCAAAACAGTGTTATCCAATGCAGCCCAAATTTTGAACTCATCATAAGTTATCTTTCCGTCTTTATTCAAGTCAGCGCACTTGAATACATTCGCAACCATCTCGTCGAGAGCATCATGCGACATCGTTTCCATAATTGGCTTTGCCTTGGTGGCCTCGTATGAACACATGGCTTTACGACTTTTTATGTCATTAGCAGCAGCGTTGCACACAGCGTCATCAGGTATGGGAGCGTTAAAAACTGAAGAAATTGATTTATCAGCAGCTTTGTCGAATGATGCTTTCATTTCTTCTTCGCAAATCTTGATGTAGTCACGAACCATTTCAACGCTGATGAGGAAATACGCCTTGAATATATCACGAAAATCTTTCGGTAATAAATAACCTTTATTTTCAACGTCATATCCTTCGAATACATATCGTACTTTCTCGTTTTTTCCACCTCTTGTTAAAACAGAAAGTGCAGTTACAAATTCATTAAATGAAATGATGCCATTCTTATCAGCATCATAAAATGAAAACATTCTGTCTATCACTAAGTTCGTCTGTTTGCCAAGTGGTCCCAAACATCGGTCAAACGCTTCACGGGTGATGCCATCCTCATGTGGTGCGAGCGTTTTGAATTGTTCAAAAAGATAATGGATTTCTGTTTCATCAAAATGAGTTTGGTCGCGAAGGGCTGTAACCTCATTCCACGATAATGAAACAGAATGACTAGCAATTTTCCCTATAACATAATCGAAAGCATTTAGAAATGCCCGGAAAGGAATTACAAAATGTAAATTAAAGTTCATAACTTCCACGACTGTGTTTTTCATTTGAACTTTAGCGAATACTTATTTTCATATAGTGAATCGGCAATAGCACAATATTCTTAAAGTAGAAAAACAATTTGGTAGCTGTTAGGTATGAAATCAATAATGTGGGAATTTCGTCTGTCGGGAAATGTTTTGAGTTCCAAGTCCAGTTCGTTGCAGGTCTCAGTTATAATGTCTTGTGCTTTTTGCCAACGTAATTAAACAGTGTTAGGCAATAGCGCTTGTGTCACGTTGGGTGGTATGTTCATAAGTCAAGTTTTAAGGCATCTCTTAGGTCCGTTTGAAACGGCTAATTTTATATTCACGAAATGCATGGAAGAAAAAAGAAAATGAGATAGGGCCATCCGCCATTTTACAACGCAAACTTCGTCATAATAATAATAAAAAAATAAATATGTTATTTAAGTCAGTCCGCATGGAAAAAATATTATCCGTAAGGACCTTCCAGCCGGTAAATAACATATGTATATATATGGTCTTAGACAAAGAGAGGGGTTGGAGTTGTATGTTGGAAGTGAGAAAAGTCGTCATTTTAGTGTGAAAAAAATAATAAATCGGACAATTATGATTACTGTTTGTTGTTTAATTTGGATATGGAAAATTTTTTAAATTTTTACTGAAAATTTAGAGGCGTAATCAAAGAGCGATCAAATGCAAGCTATTTTTCTTTGAAATGAGTCCTAAACTTGAGAGGTTTGTGCATTAGCTGGTGTTTTTGGATGGATAACCATTTTTTATGTCTAAATTTTGTTTAATAAATTGATGAACAAATCGTGCCTGGCAAAAGGAATTTTAATAAATTGAAATTTCCTTGAAATTCATTTTGGGCCTGTTTGCCTATCCCTCAAAGCGGTAAGGACTATCGCTTTGTCTCAGATCCCAGAATCGTCATTTTCAAACAATCTAATTATCAATACAGTAAGGTGCCAGGCAGTCTAAGATACATAAAATACTTTATTCCTACGGAAAACTTGCAAGCTGTTACTTTTTAAAAACAATTTCGTTGTATTTTTCGATGGGGTTGGGAGAATTATCTATTAGAGACGTCCACTAATATTTCAATGCTAGAGTTTTGGTTTGGACCTGAACTCCGGCTTTGACTCGTGAAAAAAATCCACATTAATGCTCCGGCTTCAATTCATATAGCTCCGGCATAGCACCAAATTTATGTCATAGATTTTGAGTTGAGAATCACAGGTATACATAGGAAGCAGATTCCGAAGAAAATAACCATCTTTAAACAATCTAGTTGATGAAAACAAGAGAAGTAAAAGTGACTGTTAAGTTTCGACTGTTTCATCTGTTCGTCAGACACAACATAATGGAACATAATATTTTACGTACATGATATATATGTTATCTACCAGCTGGAAGGTCTGCGCAAAAAAAATTTCATACGGACGAATTAAGGTTAAAATGACGTATCTATTTCCAGCTAAAGGTAACAGTCTTATTGAACTGTGCAGTTCTATTCAACAATGGCGGCAAAGTAAACAATCAAAATGGATTAATAAGATCAATAGTTGTCTGATATTTTTTTAAAACAGAACAAAACAAAACAATTACATACATACATAATATACACACATTATTTGACATGCAAATTCAAATGTTCAAAAAGTTTGTGTCGTAGATGGTTACGCTAAAGGTATAACCATATAACCTTAACGTTTCAAGATGGCTTTTTTGTTCAAAATCTACTTCTTCCTATATTTTTTAAAATTGTTAGCTGGACTTGGTTGTTGCAGTGTATGCTGCACCAATTGTTGGTTATTCGTACAAATTTTTGACACTATTATTTGTTGTCCAACAACCACGATTCTACCCAATGTTGTATGCAAAGGTTATTGTTTATTAAATTTTCATGATGCTGCTTGAAGACAAATACATAGACATCAAGGTGTAAACTGTAACATTTATAGTAATTATTATAGTAATGCAATATTTATTAGGTTTCACCATTGGCAAAGATTTGGTCATGCTGCAAAAAAGGTTTAAGGCCAAAATAAACTATTCATAAAACTAAACACTTGGGCTATTTTAGAAATATTTCAAATATCCAACAACAACAAAAGCCTTTTCATGGAAATGATCATGGAGCTTTACATGCCATTACAATACATACCATTGCAAGAGAGGTTACATATCTACATCTTAGTCACGAATGGCGATGAACTACAATGTTCCACAGAGCAATAAAATTATAGAAATTATTCTTGATTTTAAAAAATACATTTGATCTACACTGTTCATAGCAGAAATTTTTCACAATGCTATATGTCGATAAGTTTTAATACAATCAAAAAGTAAACAGCCTAAGATATAAGTTATCCCCGGTGGCATAGCCAGACCTGAAGTTTTCGGGGATATCAATTACCAAAGGTGTGAGCTTTCTAGGGGGTCCGGAGGTTTGCTACCGGGAAAAATTCATCAAGAATCTTTTAATAGCAGCTTCCTGTTCAGTTTTTTCTGGAGTGAGATCACCTCCTAATTTCTTCTCAGATTTCACTGTTCATAAAATTTGAGATAAAGGAGAGGGGTGAGAGTCCCTTCACAAATGCCACAGGTTATTATAAAGTTAGTTTGGAAATCACAAGAGAGAATGGCTTGTTGCTTTATCCTACCAGGGCAATTTTCTACTATGATGAGCTATCCATACCTGTATAAAGAGGCTTGATGCATATCGTTTTTGGGTTAGCCAAAGGCGGCACTGGATAGTTAATTTTTATAAAAACATGAGTTCTGTCATGATATTCTTTTGGTTCACAAACTTCGCACAGGTCATAATCCAAGCAGTTAGCGCACTTATAACGAGTACCGCAAATTGGGCTAACACTACACATGTTACACGTTATCCCGCGATGAACAAAGCCATTTCTTTGTGCTTCATCCTTTGCTATATAAAAAAAGTCGACAAGTTTCTCGTTCTTATCGAGGGGATATTCGCCAACATGAGACATCTGCGACTCGTTTGACACAATCAAAGTAGAACTATCTTTAAAAACTCTGCATGATGGCATACCAACTTCGGGCAACTTTGAATGCTTTAATTTCCAAACCCTTTTGATGAAAGATAAAAGAGCAACTGCTCCCGCACCGAAAACAACACCACACGCAAATTGGGTAAACGGCTTTTTACACCAAGCACTCATATATTCTTTGAATGCTAGGATTGAGAACCAAACATTTAAATAAGATAAGACTATTGGATTAGCAAGTGTTCAACAGTCAGCCTGGATTTGATAAATCACGCAATGAATCAAAACGCTTAACCACGGTTTAACCATTGAGTTTAAATTTTAAACATGGCGCTTTTTAATTAAGGGAAAACAAGGGACTAGTTAGGACATGCATAAATTGAAGTGTTTGCTTCCTGGGTGAAGCTCTACTGTATACTCAATTAACACCCTTTATCCCGCTGACATATATATTCAGTTACATTTCACTCCGAAGCACTCATTACACCTGTGATTACACTTCACTCAGCGTCTCTTAAAAGTTTTAACTTACATATAAGCGCTTATAACAAGCCAAGCCGTCATGGCTTCACAACATGAGAGACAAGATGAAAGCCTTGGAATTGATAGCAATGCCGTGCAAGATTCCAGAACGACGTTATTTCGACAAGCACGACTGCATAATTCACGCAAAAGTCTATTCAATTCGCCATTTTCTAATCCAAACGTGGATGCTGAATTAGGTATGAACTTAAGTAAGCAGTACGATAGTTATGTTAATTTTTTATTTAATTAATTAAGTTGTTTGGAGATATTCCCTTTTCTGTCAAGCAAGCCAAAATATGCTTGTTAAGGAAAGAAAATAATTATATGCCACCCAATCTAAACCATACCAATCAATGCATTAAAAATTCTTCAAATGGTGCAAATGCCTCTGATGGAAGAGAGGGATAGAAATTTAACAACACAAAACAACAGACTCAACATATTATGTGCACTAGGACTCTTGACTTTGAAAATGAGTGCCACTAAGGTTGTTGAAACTTCAGTCAACATCAAACACCAACTTCTTAAGACTCTACTAATCTGGAGGATCTACATCTACAAACATGTAACAAAACTCCTGGGTTCTAACTATTTATTTTATATGTCATAAATTGATAAACATGTTGGTCCTTGGCTCTACTGGCACCCCCCTCCTTTTTCAAAGTCCTATTTTTACCGATTATTATTCTTATATTCTAGTCTTTTGTTTGAGGAAACTGATTTCACTTACTACATTGTCAAATTTCAGACCTTTAAAAGTTTGTTCAGAATTTCCATGTTGGTACTAATGATCTTGTCAGAGTGACTACATTAATCCAACATGGATATCCCTCAAAATGCTTTGATTAATTAAGTTAGAAGCTGCCATACAGTAAAACAGTAGCACATAGCTAACCAGTTCAATCTAACTTCCATCTTCACCTCCGAAAACTCCAAATAATCTACTTTGTGATTGCTTGAATAATTCATAAACTATTAATGAAGAAGGTACATAAGTTTTCATGTTTCTGTACACCAAGCTGTGCTGAATTTCAACATTGTTGTGCTGCACCCCTTAAACCTAAAAAGTGTGTGTTAATACCCCTAGAAAATGAAAGTGCTTACACAGTTAGACTATGGTGAATGATAAATGATGAGCCAATTGTTTAGTTATCAATGACCACAAGAATCAGTTTTTTAAAAACGAATTACTTAATATACAAATAATGAAAGTAGTTTGAATGTAATTAGAAAGTTTACTTCTACAGATTGTTTCATTTGCATCACACCTCTTCACTATTTGCTCTATTAATTTGGTTTGGAGTATTTCTTTACATTTTAGGAACTCTATTTATGATTTATTTATTTAAGATTTATTTAAGAAAGTATATATATTTATACAAAAAAAATAGTAGCATAATTTTACTTATTTGAGTAAGTTTATTGGCCATTTTAATAATTGCTAGGGCACCACACGATTTTTGACAAATAATTTGATGCATGTAATTGCTTTTATAATGAGGCTAAAACTATAGATCACATTGCAATACATACATACATACATACATACTGATCGACACAACAGCCCAATTTTACACACTGCATTGCCAACTGTTTAACAAATGTTGATTTAAAAATTTTTAAATATACATTCACCCAATCTGTTTCTAAATTGCCCATGACATTATGCTAACCATTACTGGTGGCCAGTAGATGTAGTTTCTTTTGGTTATTAAAAGCAAATTATTTTAGCCAATAAAAGTAGAAGTACAGTAATGCAGATTCAATGAAGTAAACAAAAGACCCCTCGCTCCAGCGAAACTGATGAAGTGACTAACCCTGATTACTTAGGTATTTTATAACTGCTGATAATCACCAGAGCAGTGTAGAAGACTTACGTAGCTACATTCTGAGTTAGCATTTGGCAATATTGCTTTACAGCATATTCTTGATCACTATATCTTGTTTTGCCTCACATAGTGTAGTGTATTTCGTGCACCAAGCCATGGTTAAGATTATGGCTGGAGTCAAAAATACCTTACATCAGGAGCGGAATTTTAAGTTTAGTAAGAAGTCGTGAAGTCAGTCTATTGAGTCAATTTTAATTGAGACATATTCATTAAAGCATACATGTGGACCTTTGGTGTTAACTTACCTTGATTTTATTCATTCTGTTTTAAGACTCTTCTTTTAAGTCTTATATTCGTACTGCTTCTTTTTATTGGGACCTGGGCTATCTCTGAATGGAGTGAGTACATTCATTGGCTAGTTGTTGTAAATTTGTTAGTACATACGTGAGCTTCTTTTGTAGATGGTATTCCAAAAACTGATTTATGGGCATACTTCCTTGTTGCATGATTTACTACAATATTCTTCTGTTGTTGGCTATTTCAGTGAAAATTCTACACCAGTTTACCCCGATTATTGCGCTCTAGAGTTATTTTTGTCAGGGGGCTCCCGTAAATTTACTTCGTTCAATTGTCTGAGGACAAAACTGTTGGCAATAGAAAATACATAAAACTGCCATGACAGTTTGTTTTCAGCCATGTGAATTTGCTAATGTGGCTTTCTATTGTGGCTTGTGTAATGCAGGACATGTGCGTAGATACTTCCTAAAGTCCGTGAGATAAATTTCGACATGCTTTAAAATTCCATGTGCTATAAATGGTTTCATATATGGTTTATCAACGTTGTATGTTAGGCTAGATTCATCTAGATGGTGCTAATGTAATAGAAAGTTTTCAGCTTTTAATTTACTTTGATTTGTACCGCGTAATCTCCAATATAGTAAAGCTAAGCGCATGCTCATACTTTGTGAAATAAGAACAATTATGAAATAGTTTTGTCTGCGTTTAAAGATCAAAAAGAAGTTATCTGCAATCGGCACAGAATCGTTGGAGGCATAGCAAGACAAAATAACACGTTCAGTCAGCTGGCTTGGCTATGAACCTAAGTTATTGCAAAAATTCGGTGTGGTGGCCGGGGGCAGGAGGCATGCCCCCAGCAAATGATTAAAGGGAGAGCGAGTGTACGCATCTGTGCAAAACTCCTTTAAATTTATAAGTGGATTATTACTTATAATTGGAAACACAAATTTATAAGTTAGGTTAGAAACACAAGTTTAAACTCTAAAACAATTTTGCTTGACGTAATATTAAGTATACATTATTTAAATCACTCTCATCCGACATTTCAATGTCGAAAAAGTGTACGGGATTTTTGGCGAATTTCTCGGAAAAAATTTCTGTAGGACTTTAATTAGAATTTTCCTTTTTTTGTATTTTTCTATGCATAAGTTCTAAATTCATTTTATCATTTCTCTGACTACAGTTGGATTGAATTCTCATATTCCTGAAAATATATTTACGGTAGTCATTTGGGGGATTTTAATAATTTGACAGACCAAAATAGACCCGAAATAAGATACATTACTTTTCAAAACAATTTTTCTAACTATTATATTCATTTAAAAATTGGTGCGTTTTAATTTAAAGAAACCGTTTATGTTTCCAAATCAAATGTTAACTTCCATTGCCACCGTGGTAAAACTCTGTTTATCTCATCAGTTGGCAACGAAAAAGAATAATTCTGATTTTTATGGCTTTCAATCATTATGGAATCATCGATGCTACCAATATAATTGGTAAATGGGATGTAACCGGGAGTGAAAAGCATGTTAGTCAGTAGCTTAAAAGCAATCACCCCTCGATCTTGAGCTGTATGTATTCCTTGAAACCAATTTTTAAAGACGCCGATGTTCTTGTGGGACTGTTTGTTTAGGTGAACGAAATCAGCGGCATACTGTCTTTGCCTTTTGCTGCATGCCTTTCATATAACAAAATTGGATAATCCGACCAATTAAGCACTTATCTTTGCAATGTACACGGGAAAAAATACATAGCAAATACAAATCGGTCGACAGTTTTCAATATCAAGACCAGAGAATGTATGGTTTAGTTGCTCTGCACGAACACGTAGCAGTCTGTCGCTGGAGATAGCAGAATGCTCCTGAAGCAAGTATAGAGCGGTGGTCTTTCTGATGTAGGTATCACTGTAAAGAACAAATGGCGATGATAAAAGTAATTTTCCTTTAAGAGCAAAGGTTTTTCGTAGACATTCATCATGTGTTCTTGTGTGTAGCTGTCGCTGAGTCTTGAATTGTTTCGTAAGTTGGAAACACTTGAGACTCGGCATTAAACTATCTGATCCTGATCACCTACAAGTCCTCTTGAATCATAATGATGTTAGCAGTTTCGGCCGTTAAATTTGCATTGTTTTCTGGATAAGTGACCAAGTTATCTTCTTCGTGATCGTTATCAACAGCATCATGCACAACTTTCTCTACGTTAAGTACTAAGTCTTGATCGGCGTAACGTCTGAGGGTTATATCACAAAAAGGGCAAATTTCTCTAGACGTCTCTTTTGCTTTGAGTACTTGTTCTGTTATTTCTTCAATGGTTGGAATAGAAAACGTTGCTTGATTTTTCTCGTTTAACTGCAAGAGTCGGCGTTTAACTTGGGGAAAGACCATTGTTTCATCTGATTCTGATGATGATAGAAATTTCAGCATGTGAATATTTTCAAGGATCCTTTTTAAGCTAAAATTAACATTTGTTGAAAAAGTCAAGGGAGTCATTGACCGAAGAATTCGAAAAAGCTGCTCGCACGACTGAGATCCAGTCACCACACTCTTAAACTCTTGTTTTGAAAGACATCAGTGATAACATTATACAAGATATTGATGAACAAGTGGCATTTAATTCTATACAAAGATAAGCGTTATTATTTCTGATGAAGTGGTCAGTCTCTGCTAAATTCTTTTCTGAAAGCCAAGATCTTCCACATTCTCAAAAATAGATGGATTTCCTAAACAGGAAAATTCTGGGTTGGGGTGATATTCCTCTGTCGAAGAAAGAATCTCTGATACCACGTATCAGCCGTAAGTAAATCACAATTCGGACGTTTCATTGATGAGCCTAGCTCATTTAGATATTCCTTAACACAGGTTGATGCTTGTGTAGTTTTGTTTGTCTTTGTCATCTATGGCTCGTTGAGTGAGGCCATGCTTTGCCTTTGAAAAATCTTTTTATTACCTCCACCAGATGGCCTCTACACGCAACTTCTGTTCCAATACTTATAATATTAGATGGAATAATTAGACTCGTCTTAAGCTTTCTAGTATGTATACTGTATCCTGAGGACTTAAGCTGGATGATTT